CTGGCACTCTACTTTGCTCTTTCCCCATGTGAACACATGGCAGGGCTGAGAGCTGTGTGAAATTTGGCCAGTCCAGGGAGAGCCTGGATGCTTGGCTTTTGAGGAAACCCTGGCACATTCCTCCCAGTGCCTCTGTGCTTCCAGCCATCTGCCGCCTGCCTCCTCACCCAGGGCGCTCTGCATTTGCTGGGAAGGGGAGGCTCAAAAGCGCAGCACAGAGCAATTGTGCCATGCCCAGGCTCAGGCCCAGACACCATGCTCGGCTGTCCCTGCTCTGCAAGGCAGTGAGGGAGGGTGTGAAACAGGAGGAAAACAGTTCCAAGCGACCTTTTATAAAGAGATGTAAAGTCTTTCATGGCCAACGGAGACCATGTTTGTTCCCTCTTTCCAGTCCAGACCCCACCAAAACCCAACCTCAACAAGCGTAGGAACTGGGGATCTGAAGCCCCTCCACCAGCTGCCAGCCAGGAGGATCTCCAGGTGCAGCAGTTCACAGTTTCTGGTGCAGCATGACATGCCTCTGTGGAAACCATCTTATCCAGCTGAGATAGAAGAACCCGCTCTCCAGTGTGCACAAACAACCCCAACCTCTGCCACTGCATCAGCAGCTCTAGCAGCGGAAACGGGAGGAAAGGTGTGTTGCTAAGCCGGGCTCTGCTACAAGAACAGAAAATGCATTGTTTGTAAATCGGACTTTGGAACAGCTTAAGACTTAAATATACCTTTAATTACTTAAACCTTTGCAGAGCTGCACAGCTCCAGAGTGGATACAACAATATTAATTTTCCTGACTGCAGATTTTGTTACAAAATAAACAAGTTTTCTAGGCCAGGCTTGATAATGCTTATCAAGAAGTTGGATTGGGTTCAAAGTCATCTCAAAATCCTAGTGGGGATCAGCTGAAGCAAAAATAGTTATAACATGGCACCCAGAGAAAACTACCCTTAGCAAAATATTTGTACACAGCACATGTCTGGTTGTCTAGTAAAACCCCAGTAGGCTTGACAGAGGTGCTTTTTAATAAGCTCCATTAGCATGCTTTCCAGTAACGTAAACCTTGTGGTTTTTGTTTTATTGTCTTATTAAAATATGTTTCCAGGATGCTCAAACAACATTTTCCCAGCCAATTTTATGCATAATTACATTTTCTTCCCTATGCTAATTTTTTTCCTGTAAATGTGCCCTCTGGACCAAGCCGTGCCTCAATCATGATAAAGCAATTCTTTTCATGTTGGCATAATGAAGAACATACTTCATCTCTCACCCTCCATCTCTGAAGCTTGGAACATTCTACAGCGGTTACTGAATCTCACCAGGTAAATTCTGTCCTCCAGTAAACGAGGAAATGGTGCTGATGTTCCTGCATTGAAATGGAGGATCAGGAGTATTTCTTCTGGCACAAGAGGAATGACAGCTAGAAAAGAGCTACTGCAGCTGGAACCCCTGACCCCACCTGAGCTACTGCCAGATACAGGCAAAAATCATTTAACTGCTCCAAACCAGGCAAACAGGCAAACAGTGTAAGGCCGCACTGAAAGCGACAGGATGCCAGCACTCCTGGGAGTAGGACTCTCCTGGCAGGCTGCTCTTGCCAGTGATTTCCATCTAGAATAATACATTCAGGGATGGTTTCCGTATCACTGTCCATATGTTCACTTGCAGTAGCCATAGCAAAGACATTACTTCATATGCTTTATAGGGAATATTGTCCAGCAAGCAGCTTAGCGTATGGCCTCTCCTGTTGTGAAGCGCAGCTTGTCCTTGACCTCCAGAAATTCCTTCCAACCAACGCTTCTGTGATTCAGTGATCCTTCATCTTTCCCTGTGGCAGGGCCTTGGCCTGACAGCTGCTGGGTTTGTAAATTATTTCCCTGGCTTGGGCTGACACCGAGCCAAAGGAAATAAAGCTGGCAAAATCCTCCAGATTGCAAAATCCCTGCCAGGGCCTCCAGAAGGGATGTGGAGTAGGAGCTAAGCACCCAGCATCCCTGCTTGGTGGGGCAGGAGCGGAAGCCCTGGCTCTGTCCCCTCCAGCCTCTTGGGTACCACAACTGAAGCAGGTCCAGGATGGAGACATGCACAGACCGCAAAGCTGAAAATGAGACCTGGAGAGGAACCACACGTGTTTGAAGTACAATTCCTTGATAATTTTCCTCCTGGCATGACACAGCTCTACCTCTCCCTCATCCAGGCACAGCCAAAAACCTCCACTGAGGAAGCTGTTTAGGCAAAACATGAAAAAAAAAGAAGCAGCTTATATAATTTCTGATTAACACTTCAAGACCTAGCATTTATTCTCTGATGCCCAAGGAGATTCATCCTTCTGGGTTTTAATTTTTTATTTTAAAATGTTTTCACAAGTAGCAAAAGGTTGGGTTTTTGAGGAGGAAGGAACACAGAATCATTGACTATTTTCAGAATGGCTATACAACACATATGCTTTTCCACAGATTTGTATCAGGATATAAAGTAATATAAATATATATGTAAATATATAAAAATAAATGATTTGGTACTAACAGCTTCAACTAGGACAATTTCAGTAGGGAAAAAAACAAAATGGAAAAAAAATTGAACAAACAATTTTATACGTCCCTTTTTTAAAGGTGTTCAGAATTTTGACCTTTCACTGAGTGTGAAAGAGGGGAGGAGAGGCACAATTGCCACTGAAATGTGTTTACAATAACTAGATTTTATATCATTCATATATGTCACACTTCATCAAGTTACTGTGACAAGACAGATATGAAAATGCCAGAAGTGCATAAACTCTTTTTTACATAAAAGAGGATATATATTTAAAGCACATATTTTAAGTTTTAGGGCTGTTACCTCACTTTACCCCAAAATAATTATTTTAGCCTATAAGACAACTGTAACTGCTTGCAATAAAGCAACAGTCTGACAGTACTTGCCCAGCATCCGAGCCAGGCAGGCAGAAGGGCCGGGGCACACAGAGCAGGATGATAACGAGATCCTGCTGAAGCACTGACATCTTACACAATTAACTGGAATATTTCATTCATCTACCAGCAGTCAGAAGATTTAGAAATTCAGCTCTTGTTTTTGCCTTTCCTTGCAGAAGCAGTACTTTCCCCATTTGGCAACCATCTATTACAAACATTATTATTTTTGCTGCTATTATTTTTTCCTCACTTCCAGCATCCCAGGTCCCAAATCACCCGTCAGGACTTGCGCAGAGGACACCGCACGAGGTTCAGTCTGACAAAACTCTATTTTTGGTACAGACTCCTTAGAAGAAGGTGCAAGGGGCAGAGGTAGAAAACCCACTCCTCTTTTCTCCACGCCGGAACCCGGCCATGACAGCGGGTCAAGGCGCAGCTGGTCCATCCCTGCCGTCCCCCCTCCATCCCAGGCAGCTGGCAGGATCCCTCGCAGGGTACCAGCACGGGCCATGGCCTCCCTCTAGCGTCTGCAGTGCAGCTTCTGTGCCCGTGCTCCCCCCTCACCAGTGACCACAGTCCTTCCAGCTCTTGAAACAAGAGGAAACTGGTTTGGTCCTGCGAGGAATGACCCATAATTAATGCTTATAGACACTCCACAGTATGAGAATTCACGGAGCCCCAGGAGCGCCTGGGGATCAAGCAGCCTCCAGAACTCTGCTATAATTAACATTTAACGATTATGCAGAAACCCTGAGGCAAGCAGCTGTCTCTGCTTCTGCAGGAGAGGCCTGAGGGCAATAGGACATGAAGATGAACTATTTAGAAACACATCATCAGCTTAACTTCTGTCGTCCCATGCCCACGGACTTCTCACTTGTTCTAGCAAGACAGAGACATGCAAACGTCACCTTGGCACGATGGCAGCAGTTATACTGTAGGAGGGACTGAAAAACACCCAGCTCGTGGGCCTATCCAAAAATGGCCCCTGACGCTAACCTGAGTGTGCGAACAAGCTTCACCGTGTTCAGGACAAGGGCTGGCAGCTCTCAAACAGGAGGAACCAGCAGCGGCCCGTGGACAGGACTGTGCAGCACCCTGTGGTAAGGGACCATTCACTGACAGGGTGGGTGAGGGAAAGGAAGGAGTGCACATTTCTGTCTGCACCTCAGGCCTGGTAATGTTTTAAAACAAATCCTGGGGAAAAAAAAAATCACATCCAGATGCAACCTTAAAAAGGTAAACTAGTAGAACATTAAGCCATAAAATCCACATGAGTCAGTGGCTGAAGTAATGAACAAAGTGGAAGAGTTCAAGCAAGTGCAGATAGGTAAGCAAGATTCTTCTCTTCCCAATTCAGAAAGTAAATATTTACTGTAATTTACTATAAATCCATTTAATACACAAACGGGTCTCTTTAAAATGCAACTTTGGCCAGAACTCTTGCACCCCACCCCTGAGCATGGAGAACTGGTAAGATCCAGTAGTCACTCTGCAGGATTCAAGGATAAGTCTAACATGCAGAGTATCAGTGTTGCTCCTAGCCTTAATCACAGAAATACATTAATGATCACGGTGGTTAATTAAAATATACTCTTTCCTATTAATGTAACATTAGCCTTTATATTCAAACAGCCCAGCTGACAATTTAATACACTCTTTTCAATTTAAATTCAGTATTTATACTTGTACCTTTGAGGCATCTCAAAAGCTGATGTGTTTTGGAAGGCTCTTAAAGGTGAAACAATTTAAGATCTGGACTCACTTATGTGCAGAGCTCTGTTCCTTGTCAAGCCAATGAGCAACAGCAGCCTGCACTTTGTGCAGTAAGGACTTTCACGGAAAAGATATGTTTTAAGACTGTATTTCTACTAAAGGAAGGCTCTATTGTAAACATTTAATAAGATCTGGGAATATAAAATCCTGGTATAAGGTCACTTAATCAAATGTGACCTGAACATAGACAGACAAGACTGACACAGTACAAGAGCTTTTAAAATAATAGGAAGTATTTGTTTTCATTTAGTTTTTAAATGTGTATTTTCTGTATTTTCAGTGAAAGTGCTTACTACACAGAATGCTGGATGCTGCTGCTCACTGACTGGAACATCAACACCCACACAGTTGCTTTATTTCCCCTTCCAAGTTATGAAAAAGTGCTAGAGAAAATTCTTTGCTCCTGGTCGCAGGCTTTAAACACCGATTGTAAGGATCCAGGTTCTGAAGTTGTGAAAGACCCTGCATGAACAACCCCACGGTCTGAAGGCACAGCCGGGACAGACTACAGAAGAGCGCCCTGCTCTCAGGACTTTGCATCATGGCAGCATGAGGGATTTTGCCAGTCTCATCCAGAACCATTTTTTCGTGCAAGGATTGGTGTAATCACAAATTGTAATGAACCGTAAGATACTTGGAAACTCGTTCTTCATGGTTTTGCACTTGACTGGAATCAGCCGTTTGAGACGAGCACCTGAAAGACAGGTCATACAGGCAGAGGATTACACAAAGCCACAGTCAGATCCTGTATCCATTTCCTCCCCACAGCAGTACACACACCACAGGATCCAGGTTTGCTCCTGATTGTGTGTCATCTCATTATAACACAACTACCTCTCACCCTGAAGAGCAAGTTTCTGATTCCCAAGCCCTCTGCTACGAACATTTCACTCAAATATGTAGCAGGACCCCATCTCGCATGTGTAGGGCAGCTTGCACTGGTGTGAGTGATAAAGGCCTAACAAACTGCAGACATAAAAGAATAGAGCATGGTTTCTTGTGGAACGCAAACAGGAATACACAGTCCTGACTATTTCCAGGTGTGTATGAAGAGAAATTTGAGAGACTAAGCTGCTTCTAGATGGTCAGCTTTGCTGGGTTATCTCCAGTTCTTTTTCTTCCTACCCTGATTTACTCAGATAGGCTGCAGATGTTACCTACCAAGGAGCTGCAAGGAATCACTCTGTTAACACAAACTGCTTTTTCTGAGGCATTCACAAGATGAGACAGCTCTCCCTGTGATTGCTACTGCTTGAAGGAGCAGCTCTTCTAAAGAGGAACCACTCTCATAATTCTCCATAGGGATACTTGCTACCAGCTAAACTGTGCTGCCCAGCACAAGTGATGACACTGAGACCTGCATAAGGCACATAACCAAGATTTCATAACTGCAGCAAATGCTTAAGTAATCCGTGGAGCTCCCAGAACTTGCCACAAACCCTTCTGTGCGTTATTTACTCCACACAAACAAAGAACTCTGTGATTTCTATAAGCCTGTACTTCATGCATGTTTTTACTGGTAGAGTTCAGGTCATTACAGATGGGCATTTCTCATCCTGTTGTTCTAATGAAAGGTATGATGACAACAAAGAACTGTTGAAGAACTAAAAGGACTTTGCCACAAATCTTGATGACTGGGGGGCTGATGCATCATGCTAAGGGTGTTCAATAGATTAATGGCCATCATATGAAATTACTGTATCAAGGAAGATGAAGCTAATTCATAGGTCTGCCACTGGCTTCGTTTTGTGATAACATTGTGTATCTGTCTGACCTGCTTCCAGTTTAACCTCTGGCACGTCATTTAAAACACCACATCAGATACCTCATCTAGAAAAGAGACTTTACATACAGACACTCTTACTGATATTACATATCCTCCATACTATTAGGCTGTGCTGCACTTACTCCCCAGCAACATACGCAAGTGTAGGATAACTAGTGGTTAGAGAAAAGCAATCTGAACAGACTTGATGGAAATAAATCAATTCAGAACAAAGTATATCACAGATTTTTCCAGTCCAAGCTGAACATTCATTCCATATTTTGTTTACCCATCCACAATACTCAAGGATCTCTGCAAAAAGCTGCATGTTTGTTACCTGCTACTCTATTCCCAGCATTTACTCACACCCTGAATTTATTATAATACTTTTCTCTTTAGTAGTGTATTTCCCATATGGATCTTGAAGCACTTCACAAGCCTGACATGCAGATACAACATCTCTGAAGCAGGCAGCATTAGCCCACTTGACAGCTGGAGCACTGAAGCAGACAGCTAAGCTGCTCACTCATGGTCATGCAGAAGTTCAGTGGCAGGGTAAGGAACCAAATCCAGGTCCCTGCCTGCACAACAAAATTATAAAGCCACTGTTAGTTTTAAGGGCTGCTTCTAATAGCAATAGATCTCTGATTAGTGATGGGCATTACACCCAGGGCAAGCCCTGTGCCTGGGTGGACTTTCACATATGTGAAACATAGGTCAGTGGTCAGACCCCAGGTCTGAGACCATTTTACCAGTTCTGTAACTATCAGCTATATTTTCTTCTTTCTCACCTGTATTTATCTAATCTGTTTAAACACATCTAAGACTACCCCTCATTCTGCATTTGTGCAGTGCCCAATAGCACACACTGATCTAAGCTGGAGATGTTACTATAATAAAAAGTACAATGTTGATATGCAATTTAAAATGAGATATTTGTGAGATCTTACCCGGGGAAAGACTAAGAGCAAATTTGGTCTGAAAATCACATTCATCGCTTTCCAGGTAATCATCTGAAATGACAACCACCATCCTCCGACACCTGAAAATTAATTAGGGGAGAAAAAATAAGATGTCCACAGACAGGCTTCGCATTCTCACTGGTAGAAGTATTTATTCTGAATTGCTGTGGTGGAGAAATGAACCCACCAATTGTGTTCCTGCAGGAATTAACTACAGAGCAAGGAGTACTGACAAACAGATAGCTACATTACATACAAAAACCTGATTACAGATACACACTCATATACCAAAACATGAGGAAACAGCAAAGTCCAGATTACCTATGCAATCTTTGTTTGTTCCTCTGTTTATAAATTACAAACAATGCCACCTTAATTATCTGCTTACATGCTGCCTTTATTGACTGAGCATAACCGGTACTTTTTAGTATTAAAATGAACTGGACAGAGGTTTTCTTGCACTCATATTACTGCAAATTCACCTGGTTTCATAAATTTGAACTCCATTCTCAAATTTGTTGCCTACATTCATTTGAGGTGCCTGGTTGTAAACTACATATAAGGCTCTTTATGGAAGGCTACACTGCAAAACAGCCAAAACAGTGAGGCCTTATGAAGGTCTCTCTTAATGCCAAGCCACCTCCCTTTGAAAGGCTGGTGTTTAAAACCCAAACACCTGTCTTGGGATTTTTCACTCCCTATCTGGGGAGTTGCTTTCATGTTCCACAGCTCCCACCGCAGCCAAGTCCCACATAGGTCTGAAGGATCCTTGAAATCAGTGCCAGAGCCAACACCAGTGCTGCCCCCTTGAACTGCGGGGTGGAGCTAACTCAGCCTGAAGCTGGATTCACTTCCAGATCACCTCCAAGGATGTGACTGCAGGATATTCCAGCCAAAGGAAAGGAATCGAATGTAAGTAGCATCACTATAGTGGCATTTCCCTTGTGAACACAATGAAGTGACATGTTTGAGAATGCTCATCTTCCTTCTTGAGCCAAGAGCATAAAACAAACCCCATAAAGACATCCTTGTGCATTTTTACTGCTTCACTGGCACCACACTGCAGACATCATGGTAAAATGAACATAATGTTCTATTACACTCAGCTGTCCCAGACAGCCACAGTTCACTTACCTCCGTTCTATAAGTTCTCCACTGATGGACCACACACACGTTCCTGGCAAGACATCCCGATCAAATACACAGAGCTTCAGTTTGAACTCTGTTTGTTCCAGCTCCCTGATCATCTCCTGGACAAACTGAAGGTCCTTCTGACAGTAGCAGATGAAGGCATCAAACATCTCTGCTCCGTTCCCTGAAACCATCAAAAAATTAGCACTCATCTTCTACTCTAAATGAAGTTCACTCCTGTAGTGAACTTTCGCTAGCTCCCACAGACTTTGACTCAGAATCAGGAGGTTGACAGAGAAGCTCTGGCCAAACTTGTGAAGGTAATTTATCACTTTCCCAGCCCTGGTACCCTTCAGCCAGTCTTCTGTCCATAACAGGACTGGCAGGAGGTAACACATGTCTATGCCTTGACTGCTTTGGTTCACAGTCCAGGCTAGTCACAGAAACCCACATCTACTGGAAGTGGTTAGGAAAGAGTAGCTAAGATGCAGACATGCAGAATCTGCAGAGGCAGTAACATTCAGCCACAGGGAGTGGGGGTAGACAGAGTCTGCGAAGAGCCAGAGGGAGCAGAGTACCCCAGAAGATGCAACTCAGAGCCCTGATGCTTCAGGATTTCACTGGGAGTTATGCATCTAAAATATCCTTACGGCTCTGGGAACTAGTTCTCTAGTTCAGGTCACAAAGATACAAACCTCCCAACCAAAACCCTCCTGCAGGCCCTTCATTCAGCAGTCCTGACACCTGCTGTCTACTGAGCTATGAGGTGGGCTCAGTAGAAAATTTCCTCAGTAGAAATTTTGAAACTGCAATTTTTATGGCTAAGATGTCAAACTTGGGTACCTGAAGTCATATCCTAAATGGCCCTGTATTCCAAATATGTTAATGGTTGGCAGCTCTTGTTTATTTAGCACTTAATGAAGTATTAAAGTGCTATATTTTAAGGGCAATGTCTCTCATAATTAAGTGCCTTAATTAAGTGCTGGATTGTTTCCTACTGCATTTTTTTTTTTTTGTATCGATGTCATTACATATATTTTCAAGTTTTTATACCAGTTAAAGCCTACCACAGTGAAAAAATAGGTCAGGCTCTAAAAGCTGCTGGGAAAACTAGGCATCCGGCAGGCTCCTATCCAGCTCCAGAAGCATCCAGTGAAGCAGAAGGGTAGCTGTCTGCCAGGCCAATCACACCGTGGGTACTGCTTTAGGGGCACAGTGCCAACTTGGGGGTCACATCAGGCAAAGCTGCCATGTACAAACACCAGCATGTTGGTCTATGGACATTTGGGGAGGGTTAATGATGTCCCCACATACAGCAAAGGCGGCCACCCAAAGTCAGACTACTCAGGGGAGCATCTGAAGAGGTAAGCTGGCACAGATCCATTCATCTCGGCTGCTGCTCTGTCTGTCACTGAACTTCATAAGATGTCCGCTTCCTCAGCCCACGACTGCGCACGCAGCCTGGTGTGCGGGTGGAAATGCAGAAGACTTCACACATAGCCCAGCACACACTTGCACATGCACACGGTTGCACACACAGAGCTGCAGGCACAGTGCAGCAAGCACATTCACAGGGAACTGTGTTTCCTCTCTCCCCCCACTTTACACCCAGCCATACTTCAAACCCTGCTTCCTTTTTATTCAGGGTGGTTAAATCTGCTGAAGACCAGGCAGTGTAGCCAACCACTCGTCTCTGATGTCCTTCCCCCCTGACTCCAACCCACAGTTCTTTCAGCAGCTGTTGCTCTGTGCCAGGCTGTGCTAATGGACACATTTCTGAGAAGTCTCCTCCCATGTGTGTCCAGTGGGCTCTGTGCCAGCATGTTTCTGGGTACAGCGTTCCCCAGGGTTGCTTTTCCTCTCTGCCCTAGGTAACAGGAAAAATGAAAATGCCTGCAGACTACCAGCTACAGCATTTTTGCCTAGGCTATGAAAAGTCACAGGCAGTAGTAAAAGCAACCAAGTCTCATGCACTTCCTACCTGCTACAGCTGAAGGCAATTCCAGCACAAGGTATCAGGCAGCAATGTAATCATGGGCGCTTACCATACGGGTCGTCCCTGGTGGTAATACCCATCAGTTCTGACGTCTTTGGCACGCTGCTGTCTACTGCTGGCACTTGAAGTGGCTGGTCGGCCTGCTCCTGCTTCTTCTGTAAGTATTTCCTACAGTCCTCCTCTGCAAAAACACATAACCAATGCAGGAGGCTTTACACTGCTGGGGTTCTTTGAAACAGGAACAGCTATTTCATGGATCATGGATATCAGAGGGAAACCCCCTGTCTAGTTTTTTCGGTACCTACGATTTCTCTCACCTCTTTTTGAACCTCTTGATGCTGCCTCCACCACTTCCTCTAGCAATTAATTCCTGAAGCTCACTCTTGCTTTTTAAATACTTTTATTTTATTCATTTTAAACCAATCTCCTATTATCCTTAGTTCTAGTATATCCCAGTATACTTTCAACAGATGCATCATGTACATAAAAGTCTCTGCTCTAATGTCCGCTCTCACTGTTACACACTTCAGAGTATTTAAAATCATAAAATAACTGGGGAGGAAATCTCCATTCATATTAGCTTCATATTAGTCTTCATATTAGCTTTTTCTAATAAATGTAGACAAACACACTAGCTTGTTCACACCACTGCCCAATCGCCAGCCAGAACTGCATGTAAAATTCTAAGGAGCCCCTAAAACAAGCTTTATATTGTGCAAGAGCTAGTGGAGATCTCAGGCAGAAAGGGTGTGTACCTCCCCTCTGGGATAACTGAAGGGCAAGCAGGCCTATCACCTTCACTGCTGTGAACTTCCCAAACATGACAGTGATGGACACAGATCTATTATAAACAGCTGTTGCTTAAAAATGAATTATAAATCTCAATGTTAAGCCTTTGGAAAAGTGACAAGAAACCTTGCAGCCTCTGCCACTCTGCAACATGCAACCACAGAAGAACTTGAAAGTAAAAGGAAATGTGAAAAGAGGAATTAACAAAAACATGAAACTCCCTAGAGACTTCTCCTTTACTTAAGATTTTAAAAAAAGTACCAACAAGTATCAATCAGAAAAGTACTGATCACTCAGAGGATTAGACTGGCACAGCTAGAGATCACTGGTACCATGGCAGTAGCAGAGTCAAGGATTTCCTGGCAGTGCAGGATGAGGGTAGGAGCCCAGTAAGCACTGCTATAGCACAGCCCTCATCGGTAACGAGCAGGTCTGAAGGCAGCCCAGCTCCTGAGGCCTCATCCTCTGCTTCTATCTCATAGTTTTGCACCTTGTGACTGGATTATCCTCAATCTAATAAAGAGTCAGATCTGATCAAAGCTTTTCCTGAGGCTAAGGCATTCCCAGTCTGCCATTTTCCTCTCCCCTTTCTCCTCAGACCTACAGCAGGGAGAAGACTCAGACAATTCTTTACCAGCCAGAAAGTTCAGATTTTAGGTCTTTCCTTACTTAAGCACAAACTCGTGTCCCACCTCTCTGCCACCTGCCTGTTGCCGTGAGGTGTGCACATTTCATGCCAGGTACATGAGTGTCTTTGAAATCATGATTAAAGGCACTTTGAATTAACCAGCGGGTTCAGAGGTTCCACGGGAAGGACTGGCACACCAGCACCACCTTCCATGTGCCTTGGTCCCCTAGGTAGCCAGGTTCACAACCCAAAATATTGCTGAATAGGCAAGAACAGGCAATTATTTAAAGGCATACTAATATTAGTGCTCAATATAGAAATGTTCATTTTAAGTGTATTTCCTCCGTGTTTTCTCTCCTTGCCTCTCCCAGCTGCAGAAGTGGCATCTATGCTGCCCTGACCTGTGTTTTTCTAGACTGGTGCCCAGAGCTCATCACCCCACCACACACAGCTGCCACACATTCACATTAACACAAGCATTCTCCCAACTCATGTAGTCTGGCTTACACACAGACTTCTGATGGCATCATGCTGTGACCCCAGACCCCATTTATCCCTACAGGATAAACCTGAGAGCTGGGCAAAGATTTCAAAACAAAACACCGGAGCCTCAGGGTTTTATTACAAATGCAAACCAGGGACCCTATCACACTGAAACTGCCAGTAGGTCCAGTGAACCTGCAGGAATGAAAGACAATTCACTAATTTGGTGTGGATTAGTCCCCAGATGGAAACAATGCCTGACAGTACAGGTTAACGAGAGCAACCGAGGGTCAGAGATCGCTTTGCAGGCCTGTAAAGAAAAAGGATGCAAACCGACACAACAAAGTAGCAAAAAGCTCCTCCAAGCTAAGCTGTCTCACTCCACCCAGCATCTAACTAACACAGCACGGCCTTTATATTCCTCCAATGGTCAAACAAAAGCCCGAGGTGTTGCACAGAAAAAATAAAAACATGAGACCTAAAGTGCAAAATGATTAGCACGATGAGAAAAGACAGAAAACAGACTCAGTAATCGTCAAGCAGGAAAGTAGAACTTTTATAACAGGTCAGGAGGAAACAAAAATCATTGAATTTCATCAGGAAGAGTTAGCACAAACGTACCGAACCAAATAACTTCACATCCCTAAAGATGACTGTACAATGAAATAAGCTGCTGAAAAAGATCACACTTAGGGCAGACCTGCTGGAATGGAAAAGCTGCATCCTACAAGTGTCTGTACTCCAGGCAGCGTAACAGAGGAGCTGCTGATAGAGCCCCACTGGACAGAGTGGCCAAAAGCTGAACTATTCAAGGCTGCAGGAGACACTGATTTTTAGCATTCTAAGCTTAGCCAGGAATGGAGCATGCATCGAGACAACAGGGAACTGGTTCTGTTGTAGAAACCACAAACATGTCCTCTGGAGCTGCACAGCACCAACAAGTTGCCTGTAATGGGGATGCTGTGTCCCAAAGGAGCTTGGCTTGTTTGCCCACACAAAGGCATAAGGTGTCACTTGAGACCCCAGTGTCCAAGACATGTTAACATGGTATGCCACTGGATGTACAAATGACCTGTGTCCATCAGGAGGTAGAGGCTGTGTGAGATATCCTGATGCCTCTCAAATGACTTGAGATGCCTTTGTGCGAGCAGCCGAATAGTGCCTCAGATCTGCAACTCCTATGATGAAAGCACAGACTGCTGAAACCTCAATAATGATGTTTTCTGACTCTGAACTGAACCCCACTGCACGAGTCCTAATGGCGTACACAAAGATGCCCTTGGCAACAGGAAATACTGTGCATAAGAGTGCATGAAACTGTCCGTTTCCTTTCCTCTTATGAGGGTAAATATCTCCAACTTTTGCAAGAGCTCAGAGTGCTAGCAAGAGGTCACAGGCCCTGGCTGCAATCCTCAGCCAAAAGTAATAAGATAGGAATGGCCATGCTGGGTCAAGGCTGAGGGTCCATCTACACTAGCATCCTGTCTCCAGCAGTGGTTAAAAACAGATGCCTAGGAGAGAACATAAAAATAAAATAAGCGTACAGTGATATTTTCTTACAATAATATATCTTTTAGGTATAATCTACAATCTATTTTTATAATCTATCTTTTGGACAATTTGCAGTTAAGGAATTTCCTGAGCCAGAGGCAATATTTTTGTATTGAATAGCCCTCAGTGGGTTTTTCTTCCAAGAATTTATCTGTCTCCTCTTATCAGCATGACCCACTGCCAGGCTAAACTTGTGACTTTCCTGAAACTCAAGTTCGTCCCACTCATTCTGCTGTTGTCTATTCAGGCTCTGACAAAGACTGGCCACCACATTCCCTTCCAGGGGGCCAGCTCCTCAATTCAGAGCCAGAAGCCTAGGTGATGCCCAACATTTCTGTGAAGCCCTGTCTCTCTCACAGAACTGGAAGCTTCTGCTATTTGTTATGAACCTCTGATCAGCGGATCACGAAGCACACTGAATTATTTGTCTTCCCCAACACTGACTCTTCAGAGTGTGTTCTTGAGTAGGAAGAACCACAGAAGTATGGGAAAGTCCTCCATTGCTCAGGAGGACATTGGTCAGGTTGTCTACATGGATGAATTTCTACATCTTCACTTATCTCCATGAGTAACAGGAAATGAGATTTATTATATCTTCATCACTAACCCAGTAAGCTCTATTATACAACACAGGACTTCCACGGAGTCTCTGGCTTTGGGAATCCTTTGGCAATGAATTTTCCCTTCTGATGACAGCTGGCTTCCCTCTGAATTTCTGTGATCATGAAGGATATGAAGAGTCTACAAAGAACAGGTTTCCATTTCAAAACAGTACTATGACCTGCATACTTCTCACTGACCTATCTCAAATTTTTTCACTTTGCAAGAAAATTTTTTCCCTTCCATTATCCAGTTCCACACACCCCTCATCTCTCCCTGCAAATACCTTCCCATCACACTAGAACTGCACGTCATCATTTTCACAGTCTGTGCAACCTGTCTCCTGGATGACTTGGCCCAATGTGTCCTCTGACACACAGAACTTATTGAAGGTTTGGAATAAAACAGGGCTCCAGATTCCTTTGCAGGGCTCACGGTTAGCAGAAATACAGTGCGCTTCTCCTTTCTCTCCTGGAAGCTATGAGAGGCTGCTATGAAAACACCGAGGAGGTCACTCCACAGTCTGGCAAGGGCCTTCGTGCTTGCGTGGGATTTTTTCTTAACATCATCTCCCCGGCCAAAGCAGCAAAACCCAACACCAGCAGCATCCCTCTCCTCCCTCCCTCCCTGGCATCAAGGAAGCACCGAGCTTAGCTGGGCCCCGCTATCGCAGAGGGCGGCAGGAGCCGCACGCAGCGTCCCCAGCAGAGCCCGGGGCCCCGCGAAAGGCACGGCCCCTCCGGGCCGGCCCA